CGCTTCACTTGTGTATACAAGAAGTATTGTATTAACCAAACTTCCTTCCAAAAATCATAAAATCAGTTCAACTATTTTCTTGACACGGATGATTGTGTGTGTTTTGAGTTGCAGTGGGGATATGTGTTCAATTGTTGATTATATTATAATATTTATAATAGCATTTCAAGTCACACTCACCTTTACAAACATGTTCGTAATCACCACAGCAGTTTCCAGATTTCGAACACTGACTATCGCAATGACAGTCGTCGTCATTGTTATATTTCTCATCACATCGATTTACGCATGAATACTTTGCATCTAAAATAAAACGGGGCATGTCAAGCTGCCGTCGGACATTATCGGGAAACGTCAAGTTGTCATTGGGCAATAATGGGAAATATCAAATTGTCGTCGGGCAATATCGGGATATATCGAGTTGTCGTCGGGCAATTCGGGATATAGCGATTTGTTGTCGGGCAATATCGGGATATATCGAGTTGTCGTCGGGCAATATCGGAATATATCGAGTTGTCGTCGGGCAATATCGGGATATATATCGAGTTGTCGTCGGGCAATATCGGAACATATCAAGTTGTTTTCAGGAAATATCAAGTTGTTGTCTGACAATATCGGGAAATATCAAATTGTTGTCTGACAATATCAGGAAATATCAAGTTGTCTTCGGGCAATATCAGGAAATATCAAGTTGTCGTCGGGCAATATTAAGTTGTCGTCGGGCAGTATCTCGGACAGATTGCAGTTGTAACTAGGCAATATCGGGACATAACAAGTTGTCCTCTGGCAAATCATACTATGAGTCACTTATACTTACCTGTACATCGGGCTGCGCTGTTGTAGTCTTCACAACAATTGCCGTCCTTCGTGCACAGTGAATGACATTGACATGACATGTCAGTAGAATACGCAACATTACATAGACCAATACAGCTACCTTGTGCTGGAACAAACATCATGTGACGTCAGCAATTGACAATATTGTATAATATTGTTGATTAATTCATTCCTGTCACGTGACTGTAGCAGAAAATTATCTTTTATTTTCTAAAATCCCAAAGCCGTCAGCGTCATTGACGTACTGCATATGGGAGTCGCAATATTCATAGTTTGTCTATCATTAAAGGGCCGCGGTCGTCGCACAGCGTGTGTTCGAATTTCCGTCTAAACAAACAATGTGTTTTACACGCGCCACTTCGGGAAGAACAAGAATAAACCCAAGAGTTGGTACGTCTAAAATTGTGCAAATCCAGACTAGAATGAGCCCTGTTTTTTTAATGGCAAGTTCAACGGACTATATCACCAGAACTATGAGGCACATACAAATTCCGAGACGCATAAAGCAAAAAAACTCTATATTTAGGAGGTTCGCGGCAACGAAAGTAACTTAATCCCCTGCGCAAATATTAACACGAAACGTATATGATCGTATTCTGCTATATCTCAGCTTTCTGAAAACATATACATTGTCATAACTGCATGCTTAGTAACTGGCGAGGAAATTCCTATTCTCAATTAAACTATTACTTGTGTTTTCCCTCTCGCTACCTTAAGGGCAAACATAAAGAAACTCAAGGTAATAATATAATAATAATATTTATTAAGCCTTTGGAAAGGAAAAAAAATAAAGACGAAGATATTTCCGTGAGAAAGTTATATTAACTATTTACGAAAAATACTTATATTATATAGCGATTACTTTACTCACATGTACATTTCGCTGCACCATCGTAGTCATCACAACAGTTGTCATGTTTACTACACTGGGAGTCACACTGACACTTGGCTCCAGACCGGAACGCGCTATCGCATCGACCAACACAGCTGGTATTTTCTGAAGACGAAGGAAGAACTAACGACTGAGTGAGGGAAACAACTCTACATATTTAATGTGGGTTCTGGGGATTCTTTTTTTTACTAATTGTTTACATTTATAGTGCGGTTCCAAAGACAGTACTTTAAATAATTAAACTAAAATTACGAACATGTTGACAATGAATTTCATAAAGATTATAAAAGATTTATAAAAGATTTACCCTGGAAGATATTCGTGCTTCATTCACATCGAAAGTATATGCCATTAGCTATAAAAACAATTCACGAGTCTTTGCGGCTTTCGTGTTGTGATAGACCAAGTGGTTTTCAACCGTCATTTGAAATTTATAAAACATATTTTATGTAAAAAAAACTCATACCCTTACAAAATCGACTGTATCATTCTTAAAATAAAAAACAGCAAAACACTGTTTTTGCGACATACCTACGCATTTGGCAGCACCGTCATAATCACTGCAGCAATCACCGTACTGCTTGCACTGAGAATCGCACTGACAGGGAGCCCCACGCGAGAAATCAGCGTCACATCTTCCGACACAGCTTCCGGCACCCGAACAGCCTATCAAAACATATAAAGAAACACGTTATTCGTTTAAATGATTTAATATCATACTTTTAGAGAGCAATGCGTGGCAGTATTATTAATATTGTTGCACAACTATATCGTCAGAAGTATTGGAAAATATTATAACAACATATCCGATAACAAAAATACTGTTAAAAAATAATTATGTCCTCTGACTTTGAAATACAGATAACGTTGGCCAGTGACGTCACGATGTGGGCACACGAAAAGAGGGGAGTGGCGGTGAGTACGATGCCACGCGTGACAAATGTGTAATCATTAACAAATTAGGTTATTTATTGAAATCAAGACTGAATGAATTGAATAACATGACAAAATGTTGATAATATCTAAAATTAATTCATGTGAATGTTTACACATGTCGACTGTGAATAAAACCAAATTGACAGTTGATATCTGACAAATGTGTCAATGTATAATCTTCACATATGCATTCCCACGACTGTGTGACAAGTGCACGTGTTCATAGAATACTCACCAGACTTGTCAGCATCACAATATTCGGAACATTGACAAAATGCGACCAAAGAGAGACAGAATAAGACAAATATCTTCAACATATTGATAGCTAGGTACAGGCCAACGCATGTGCTGATCTGAGGTGATGATCTAAGGTGCTGGGCCGAGTATACCACGGTTGGTTAATGATCGGTCTTGTATCTATATCGGTTAGAAATAGGTCACTTATTTGGTGTTGCTATAGTCTGTTCACCATCCCATGGGACAACGTTCACCCTTCACCGTCACAATTCAGACGTGAAATTACGTTGTAAAATTTAAAATAACTTTTTCGCACGTGTCTCATCTCGAGGTCGAGACCAGCGTGTATCCTGGGTAAACTAACTTGATACCTGGGTAGTATATTTACAATTTTTTTCAATAGTGTGTTAAAATATACTGTGGGTCGAACCCCACGTGTTGCTACACATCATCATCACATCATATATGATATATTGCCCAACCCTGGTTACCAAACCATGCCTTGGACTTACAATTAAATACTATAATCAGGTCATGCTTAATCTTTGTTTTTCATCTACTGTTGACAGGAACAGCTGCCGTACCAAATCATCACTTCCACCGATATCCATTTGATGACCTAATCAAATTAGTGTCTATCAATGGTGTCGTGTTGATAATATATCGATCCTGCACATTGATATAATTCATCGTTAATTAACGAAATAATGAACTCTGAAATTGTGTGTGCAAACAAAACAATCCTGTCAGTTATAGATATGTATATAAAAACATTATCAACATGCAGAGAAGTACTCTATTCATCCACATCTCCTTGTTCAATAATTTCACAAAACGCCATATTTGTAAATATTCATATTTTCATATTCATATTTTCAAGTACCAAGTTTAATATCTCCATTTCAGCAGCAACTATTTTATTATTGGCAATTATTCACGTGGTATACACTGTTATCTTCGTAATATCTTAGATAATATTTATAAAAAAAAACATCTGTCAGGTCTCGCCTAGTCTTTTCCGACCATCACGTCAGAGTACAGTCACACGTTAAAGCAACTAGTCGTTACACACTATCGTTAAGCATGTGGAAATTGTTCGTAGTCGTTTTCGCTGTGAGTGTGACATGGGTCAAATCCCAAGGTACGTTTTAATTTTGATGTGTGTTATGTTATGTGAACAGCTTTAAGTTTGTCATAGGTACTCATAATATAATTAGATTCTTGTATTTCAAGAAGACAATACGAGTTATACTATTATATTTATATTTATAAACAAAATACAACCAGCTAGCAATATAACAAAAATTATGAAATGCTATGAGCATTGCAGGGTTGCACCATTTGCCCACCAATCTGACGCGAACCGTTCTATTTGTGAAAAATATCAATTATGACTTAGGTAAGATTTATTGCAATGTTGTGTTGTTTCCTGAGTTCTTTGCCTTGTTAAGACAAATCAACAGTACAGTACGGGGGAGTCGTCACCTGCACATACGGCAGATGGCCATAGCGTGTCGTTGTTTACAGGCAAGCGTCTACCCAAAAGCCTTTGCGTTTTAGCGTGTGCTGTTATCGTCACTTTGGACTCAATTCCCCGCGTGCGCAGGTGACGACCGTCCCGCTTTAAGATCGTAAATTTGTACGCATTTTTATGGTACTACATAGTAAAGTAAACAAATATATGAACACGATAATTAAATTCGTTTGCAATACTGGCCAAACATTGTTGTTGGTCGGTTTATCAAGTGAAGTAATTTGGGATGTTATTTATTTTCAGATACATGTGAGAACCGTTGTAATGTGAAGTATAATTCCGAGTACGCGTGTCAATGTAACACACAATGTGACCAGTACGCTAACTGCTGTAACGATTATGACCAATACTGCACAGGTACGTTTTGCGCAAATTGTTATTTGCACATGACGTCATGGTAATAAGATCTATAATTTATGACATCATCAGTGCACTTTCAATGATATCAAATCGCGATTTCATATTTGCAAAGTGATGTTGATAATTTAGTTGTTTCATTACGACAGTTTTTTCGACTAAAACATATATTCACAATATACTAACGTGCATCGAGTTTATCATTCAGATATTTCCGTGACAATTGTTTATATTTTTAACAGGAATGGAGTTGTCATGTCTAAACCGATGTTTGGAGAATTATGATTCCAGAAACTTATGCCACTGTGATAATAATTGCGATGCCGCCGGCAACTGCTGTGACGATTATATCGAGATATGCGGCGATTGTAAGACTTCGTTTTAAAAACACATAATAAAAGAATTGCGATGTTCAGGGTCACGTGGTGTCAGTCTACGTCTATGTTCACGATTTAAAACACTGCGAAATGCAAGTTGTTTCATTTAGATGAATAATTCATTTGTATGCAGATTATGGTTCATGGTTTTGATGACGTAATCAGTCAGTATATCACGAACAACTGAATCACGCAAATTGTCTGATGGGACGGGACGGAGTTGAGGTTTCATCTGTAACTCGGCTGACAGTCTTGTCCCATATGTGGGTTTTATAGAGTTATACTAGTCTGTTAGTTACCGTACCTGATTCGTGTAGTATCACAGTGAACTACATGTTGCAATCAACCACAAATCACTTGTGGCCCTCGAACTCAAAGTGATACTGCAAATTTTAGGCTTTTTTTCTCAATATAAAAGTACGAGTATGTTGACTTGTCGGAAACAAAGACGACGATATTGTCGTGAATTAATTCTTATTCAGTTGAAGTTATTTGAAAAATTGACGCGTATTCAAATGAAATAATATATATGTTTTAGCATATGGAGAATTATCAGAACTAGCTCAAGAACTGTGGAATCTGGACGTAAATAGAGCCCCTGCTGGAGAAATTATGCTCGACTTACAGGCTTTGATTACAGACACGTCAGCCGAAGTAGACTTATCACCAAAACCGTAAGTAAAACAATTCAATGACACGCTCATCTCAACCAATTACAAACTTTGTTATATCTTTATTGTGGAAACCGCCCTGTAACTATTGAATAGACAGATTCACAAGTTGTAAGCAGACATTGCTAAAACTCAATTCTATTATTTCCGATAATACAGGAAAGTTATAAACGTTCATAAATATTCTATACACAAAATCATAGTGTATGATAACAGCGGGCTAAACAAGATTTGTATAGGTAACATGCAACTTCTCTGGGACAGTCCTTATCAATGTCCCAATAACTCCATCACCCCCAGACGGTTTAAGTGACTGCAAATCAGATTCGTAAGGGTAATTTACAACTTTCTTTGTATAGTCACAGTAATATTGCAATATGACAACTTAGCCAGCGTACGTACCAAGACAAAAATTAATTAGTAAAAATGGCACCAGTGGAAGTCTCAAAATGTAGCAACATCGTTTTCTAAACAGATCATTTGATAGCGCCAATAATATCCCTCACTGTTTTGCAATGTTCATAGGGAATTTTCCAAAACTTTTCCCTCTACGAAACTTGTTAACGCCCGCTGGAAATCATATTATTAAGCAACGGCAACAATGCACACCATGGCAACATTCGATGTTGCATAATCATACAATATTTATGTTGCAGTTTATTCTCGTACGTTAATCCGGATTTGTTTCTGATTCCAACATACGAGCATTTATGGAACTTATTGGATAACTATATTCGGATGACTGGAACCGCCGAGGATCTCACAACAAACGAGTTAGATGAAGTTAACCTATTCGTTGACGAAGTATTATCATCCAGTGTTATGATGCGCGCTCATGAATACTTGGCGTCAAAAGGTAATGTGAACTTGGCCTATAAGTAGTGGATGTCATGGCCATAAAAGTGTAACTATAATTAAAATGTACCTAATGTACCAATTAAAATAGATGTATCACGTCAGAGTATAAATATTCATTCTTTGGTCATTATTCAACTCTTTAACACATTTTCTGTCGCAATTTCAATATGCAAATGTTAAAACAAATACAACCCAATCTTACACACGTGTACTACACTGATAGGTGTCAAAACTTGGTAACTACTTTTAAGTCATTTAAAAGATCGAAAGGACGAATTCGACCGAATTTTGTTAGCGGTTGACTTAATATTACCCCAACGGGTCGTTTGGCTGTGAACAATTCGTATGTTTTCCTGATTTATAGCAGTGTCAAAAAGGCGTTTCACAACTTGTCTATTTATTTAGTTTTATGCCGTATTCGAGATGACAGCCCCATATAGAAAATATCGCATTTATTTTATTATCACTTGTGCGCCAGATGTGGTGTAGTGTATCAGTACTTACACAGTGAGATGCCACAGACGAACACGAGCTCACGAATCAGTGGTGATAAAACCCGGTTACCCTTTTCAGGAGCATGTACTAAGTCATTTTGGGGTCATTTTGATACGCGTATGCGAGGCACCAAATCTCTGAAAATTACGGTCCGGAAGATTCCTCTAAAACCAACCCATTGAAACAATTTTCCAAGAAAAACCAAGACCAATATCTAGTTAAAAATCATCTATGATTGCCACACAACACACATTATATCAACCCGGAAACAATACGACTCCCTTGATTTTCGAAAATGTGAAAAACGGATCCCTTATGTTTCCTTTCATGTTCAATCTGCAGGTCTCGTCAGTCCGGATTACTGGATTGAATTCCGAGAAGATTTAAAAACCATTTGGCTGGAATTTTACACACGATCTAGTGGACCGCTAGACTCTTCCGGTTTTGAACATGTGTTTGTTGGCGAGGTGAAGAATGGGGACGTGTCAGGCTTCCACGGATGGCTAAACTTTTATAAAGAAGAGCAAGCTGGTCGTCTCAACTATTATGGATATACTAATGAGATAAAGGTGCCGCCCTCTAGAGATACAGTGCTTTTGGTTGTAAAATGACGCACTCTACTGACTTTACAAAAGTGCCTTGTCTGGAGGGCAAAACCAATTAAAATTGATATAAAGACATTGCGAAAGACTACAGGCCGAAATACCGACACTAGCCATCAACTTGACAGCCAACATTTGTTTATTGTGAAACAAAATGCCCGTAATGATTCTTTCATCATGTTTTGGCAAGCATATATTCAAAATCCTGACGAATACCCTGATATGAACTGCCAAGAAATAAATGTGTGTGTAAATGTGTGTGTGTGTGTGTGTGTGTGTGTGTGTGTGTGTGTGTGTGTGTATGTGTATGTGTGTGTGTGTGTGTTTGGATTGCTATATGTTGCGAGGACAAAAATACAGATATATACCTACTTCCGAGGACATACACACCTTCCGAGGACCTTTTTCATAGTCCTCGGAAAACATAATTTATATTAATAGTTAA